ACGTGGCTTATTCCAAGAAACTCTCAAGGTCACATGCTAAATAAGTACTTTAAATTTGGGACACGATTTAGTAGCTGATATGTCAGATATTGCTAATGCTCTTGGGGATTGTTTCTTACGTCCCTGTTGTCTCTCCAATTACTCGCATGAATTCATGACCATTATCACATGAGACTATAATATGCCACTACCATGAAAACTGAATTCCAGGTAGCACTACAATGGTTTGGCAATATGTCTTTTAAACCAGATATTATTGAGAGACTGCACAATCTCTCTCTCTTTCTCTCTCTTCTGTTAATTTGCTTTCTCTTCTAGGTTTTATTTTTAATTAGAATATGCAGGAAGGAATTTTTCGTCATTTATGGTATTTAACTATTGTAATTCCTTTTTCAAAGCCTAATGACAATTCAACAAGACCCTTTAATTACAAAGCAATTGTTTGGAATAACTACTTCTATAAGTTTTTCATTATGTCTTTATATCTTTTGATGCTATGCTTTAAAAATACATGGACTTCTTTACGTTTGTTTTTTTATCTACATGACCGTGCTAGGTTGAATTAGATTAGTCTGTCTTTTTGGTATAGTTATCAAGTCAAACAATCGGCAAATTTAAGATTGACTCGTTACTGTTCTTACCTGCGACTTTGAGTTGTCTTTGGACGTTAGATACTCTTGAAACGAAATATTGATTTTTTTTAAAGAACACCTATAACACTATCCGTATTTGTTAGAATGTTACCCAGTTTGATGGATGGATCCATCACATGTGATGCATTTAGTTCAATTGGGGTTTGTTGTGATGTACTTTCTCCCAGGTTCCTTCAGAAGCTTACACTTTCACTTGTCTCGCATTGCATAAAAGTTAAGAGGCATAGCCACTGTTTGACTTACACAGACTCACATATATCAGAGTAGGTAATGAAATCAGTTCTTCTGAGTACTATGTGTTCTCATGTTCATAAAAAGCTAGTCCAATTACTTTTATTTTTGTTCGTTGTGTTCTGGATCCCTGTCCATGTTGGGTTTGTTTAGAATTTCGCGCAGCGCTACACGAGGGCTATCTGCGCTAATCGTCCCTACTTTCGCAGTGAAAGACTAGATGGAATGCAGTTACTCTTGGG